TGCTGATATCCAGAAATATGTTGATGTCCATAGCCTGTCTGATATCCATAGTTGTGGTGCTGATGACCACTCAGATATTCACGATGTTCCTGGTATTCACGATTACTTCGTTTGTTCTGTCCTGAAGAACTTCCTTGTCCACCAAAATCATGTCCAAATCCCCAATTGGAAGTATCTCCGTATTTGCCACACATTTTTTTAATCTTAAAATTATCAAAATTAGCTAGCAAATATTATTTTAGTTTATTATTTAAAAAATTAAATAATTTTTTAAAACATTTTCGATAATCATTTGATGTATTTCATCAAGGCTTTCCTTATTTTTACGGTTGAGTATGTTTCTGTAAAAACCAGTAAAGAGGTATTTTTGTTTTTCTTCATCATCCAACAAAATGTTTATTGTAATTTTGTTAATTTTTTCCACCAAACCCTTCTCTCTATCTTTCATATTAAAGTAGAACGAAATTAAATCTCTAGAAACATTCAATACTTCTTTAATTGTATTGCAGTTATGGTAGCTTAGTTTTTCGGAGGATACTTTAAAAATATTTTTAAAAATATACTACGAGTAATTATGTTTATTTGACAATTAATTTTGCTTATTCTTTAAATTTTGACTCATTAAAATTTACATTTTGTCTAACTCCTGACCGTTTGCCGACAGGATCCCAGTAAATATGAGAACGGAATTATGATACACGGATTAAATGGCGGATCCCATTCCAAACGATATTTTGTGAAAAACCACGCTACGAGATCCAAGGACTGCTATTTTGCAGCATTTTAAACTAAAACTACCATAATTAGTATAAAGTAAAGGAAAAAATTCTTCCACTTGAATTTCAGAATCTAAAGAAATATTTGTTGGATATTCATTGCTTTCATCTTCAAGTAAAGGAAGTAAATAATCGTTTCCTAAATTTTAATTCATTTATAGACAAATGAAAAAAATAGAAAATTTATAAGATAATTAATTGTTGTGTATGGGTGTAAGTCAGGCAATAGTTACCGAAAATGTTATCTAAATTATCAAAATTTTGCCTCCGACGCTGAAAATGAAAGAAATCAGGCTTCTGAACATTCCAAAATCCTCAAGTTTTTGCCTGTTTCGGTTATCGATTCTCGACTTTTCGTTTACGGATTCCAAAAACTAAAAAAAACTAAAGCAATCTCAGAATTACAGTAAACCCGATCCTCGCTTGCACAATATTTTCAACTGCAAGGTGAGATTCTACATATTATAATTATTATCATTTTTTAAGAGTAGTAGCGGCGCAAAAGTGACCAAGCGCATAAATCGCAGCGCAGATGTGCCCCCTCGCTAAAAGTTCGAGCTTATTCGGAGTCTTTATTTAACCCTAAGTAAAATTATAAAATTTTGGAAAATAAATTAACCGTTTTCTTTCAATTTATTTGAGAATTCTTCAAGATTATTGAAATGGTAAACATAAACCAGAATCGACAAAACTTTCCTAATTTTGGTATTTTTTAAATATTTCATTAAAAATACTTACAGTTTTTCGTCTCTTTTTTTAGAATAATTAATTACCATATCATTGTAGTAATTTTTATTTTTTCCATGAAATTTAATAAACAAACGAATTAAATGTTGAATTAATTTAATTAAATTCCAAACAATAAATATATTTCGTTCAAGGTTGGTTGGAGTTGGATTTGAAAAATGGGTGGAGAGTAAAAAGAGTTCCTCATTACTTAATTTATGTTAATTAAAATTAATAAAGTTCTGAGACATTTGAGGGTTAAAATTTTGTAGTAGGCTCTGCTTCATAACTATAACTCCACCTAAAGTTAATTTTCTTCCAGCTACGGAAAAATTTACAAAGATTTAAGGCAACCCATAAAGGGTCGGAAATATTTTTTAAAGAGGACTCAGATCACATTATTGTAAAGTTCCTCGTGTATTTGCCAAATTATGGTTAAAAACTTTAAAAATTGACAATTTAAATCCGAATATCCCTTTTGGGACACCGGAAATATTTTTCAAAATTATTGGCTTAGTTTAAATTATCGTACAGTTTAAGCTTGTACTTTGCGTGGTTTTTAAATATTTATTACTTTAAATCGTTCAAAATATTTATAGCTTCTTGAGTCAATTTGTCTTTTGTATTTAATGATGAGTAATCCAGTTGATATGGTAAAAGTCTTAATTTGTTTAAAAATGCAAAATATTGCTCAAAAGTCATTCTTCCACTAAATTTCTCTAAACCAATTTCAATTTTTTTCTGTTGTAATTGTGGATCTTAAAAAGTATGATTACTTATTTTAGGTAATTCTTCCCACTCAAATATAAATATGTATAACAGAGAAAGGAGGTTATGATCCATATCTAATGGGTAAAAGGAAAGAGATTGTTCAATTAAACTTACAATAATTAATCAAATTCACAAATTTTGAATCAAATTTTTCATTATAATATTCAATAATCTTTATTAAAAAATAAAATTTATTTTTAAATATAAATTGAGAAATATACCTTCTTTAATTTTTTTGAGGTTATTTTAAACGATTCGTATTCAAAAATCTTTGGAATGTTTGGAATTAATGTTATTGTGTTTCCAATTTCAATAATATTTTTGCGTAAATTGTTTGTTGGCCCGTCCAATTTCAATTCTTCAATTTTAATGCGATTAAATGTCCGAATTAAAAGGGACAATTCGACAAGAGTAAAATTATTTTCATCAAAGGAGGCTGCAGGTGTTGAAGAACTTCCAACAGCCTTTTCCTTTCCTTTTCGACTGGGTCCACGAGCTTTAAATTTTAATGAATTATCTTCTGTATTCGTTTATGACTGTTGTGGGTCCTATACGCAAAACCCGAACCCGGTCCGGGTCCAATTTCTGCCAATTTTATAAATAGTCTGATTTTTAACGACTTATACACTACATTTGAATGTATTTAGTGTCTAATTGTTTCAGTAGCTTACATATTCTTTAGAGCTAAAAGTTTTAAATCTGGAAACAACGAATTTAAACAGTGTCAGAACTATCAAGCAAAACTAGGCATTTATCTAAAGGCAAGAAGAAAGTAACAGACAATCAAACTTAACATAATGGCACAAGCCCAAATAAACATTATTTTGATTGAGAAAGTAAAAATGTGGATGCTACATATGTATAAGCTTAACTTTTCAAAAATTTTCAATTTCACACCATTATGTAAATATTTATATAGATTTTTTGTTTATTTGATCATTTAATAAAAAATAAATTATTAAAAAAATACAAACAATCTCTTGGATGCTGTTGTTGCAGCCACTGATCCATTAATAAAGTTTGTTTTATCACAAAAAACAAGAGGAAAAGCAAAATGAATGCTTTCATCTAAAAAATATTTGAAACGTTATTTTAAATATTTTTGTTTATAGTCTAAAACCCATCCAATCCCAAAAAGTTTTTAAAATAATTTTAAGGAAATAGAGTAATGATTGAGAATCGTTTGATTCTAAAGCTTGATAATTTTTAGTTTTAATCCAGTTCAGCTAAGGATTTTGCAACATAGCTGCAATAATCCTAATATATGAGTAGAAACGAAAATAACCTCCAAAAAAATTTGTAAATTTAAGAAAATATTATTTTATATCCCCAATTCTTATTTATATTTTAACGACTAAAACTCCACAAAAATTTTAAAATTATTCAAAATTTTATATTTTTTAAAAGAGAATATTAATGAATGGGCAACATGTTTAATATGTAGTTTAAATCATTGTGGAATTTATTTCAAAAACCGCTTGCGCAATGAATGTAGATTCATTGCTCGTACATGTATATACATATAATGTACGTATATTTAAGTCTCGCCGACAAATTTTAAACTAATCTTTAATTTGTCGGAAATTTAAAATTTGACTGTTAGATATTCATATTTATATACAAATTTTCATCGATAAAGCGCGAGTTTGGACTCTACAAAGAAAATTAAGTTCAAACTCGTGCACTATTGAATATTTATTTCAAAATTTTATCTATAATTTCTCTGAGATCTACAACATACGATAAAAATTTAGAAATTTTAATTTTTTAAAGTTTTTGTAATTGTATTATAAACGATAATTTTATTTAAAAGTTAAATTTTTGTGGCCCAACTTTCTAGTGTATTGAGTATAACTTTTCTTAAGTTCTTGACAATTTAAAAAATTGGCGTTGAGCATTTGGTAGGCTGCACGAAAATTTTGGTGCACAACCGTTTGTTAATCATATTTTTATTTTTTAGTTCAGAACCATACAAATTTCACAGTGCAAAAGACAGCGGCGCAAATGTCGCAGAATCCGCTCAAAATAATTACGAATCGAAGCCTTGATTTACAATATGTTCCTTGATGTTTTCATAACAAAATAAAATTGTAAAAATAAAAAACTTTAAAATAATTTTCATAAATTTATCGAATCTTGAATAAACAATTAAATGATAAATATCAAAAAATAAAGCTAATAAATTATTTTAGAATAAAATACAAGACAGAAATTTATCAAAAAATAAAAAATAAATGCTAAATCGGCCTTATTCGACTTTAAATTCCAGTAATATACTGGATGTTTTCAATAATGGAGGGGGAATTGTTTAACATAGAGGGGAAGTGGTTATAAAATTAAGGAATTCTATCAAAAAGAAAAATAAATTTAAATTAAAGATAAAAGCTTAATAACGTTTAGGCAATAATTTCTTCTTCATTCTTTTTTTCTTTTAAAAAAGTATTTATTAGGCTAGAATTCATCCATTTTAGATCCACAAAAATCAAATTTTTAAAATTAAAATTCGAAAGAAACCCCCATCGGAAATCTAAATTTCGAAACAGCTATGTTCGGGCTTTAACTCCGAAAATAAACAAATTAAAGGCTCAGTTATATCTTTAATTTAAATTTTTGTAAGAATTTAGATGGCAAATATCAAACAAAAAGCTTTAAATTATCATCGACTGAATTCCCAACCTCCAAGAACTTCTTCCAGCGGTCACTATTTCAGTCATCAAATTCTCCTTCTTATGTATCCTTTGATTCTTCATTATATCCAGAGCCTCCTTGGATTCTCATATTTCCTTCGAGATTTCCAGGGTATAGCTGGTGCCCGTTTCCTGTATAATCCCCTAAACCTTGTTGATGACTAGAAATTTGTTGATTTCCATAGAATGTCTGATATCCATGGTTTTGCTGATGTCCACTAAAATAATTTCCTTGAATACTTGCTTGATTGTATCCCAAAGCATTTCCTTGTACAAAATTATGTTTATATCCCCAAGTTGAAGTATCTCCATATCTACGGCACATTTCTTTCAGCTTAAAATTATAAAGTAGAAGTTTTAAATTATTTTAGTTTATTATTTAGAAAAATCAATTTTATTAATTTTTTAATACATGATAGAGTATCAATTGATGTAGTTTAAAAGTTTCGTTATCCGGATGATACAGCAATATGTTGTGGTGAAAACCGCTAAAGAGTAAATGTCGTTTACTTTCATCTGCTAATAATATGTTGACTAAAATCGCTTTAAGTTTTTCTAACAAATTTCGATCTTTTGAATTATTTTTTCGCAGATTAATGTATAGACGAGTAAAATTTTGAGAAGTCTTTAATTTATGATTAATTAGATCGTTGAATACTGAAAAAATATTTTTTAATAAAAATATTTTTATAAATTATTTATTCATATAAATATCCTAGCAATTATTTAGTAATTTAAAAAAAATTAAGGGAAAACAAACAAACGAGCAACAAAAAATACTCTTTACAGAAAATAAAAAAATTTAAAGCAACATTCTCGTGTGTCTATGAAGAATTTTAGTTATCGACAACTCTTTATAAACCCTAACCTAATGATTATTTCAAGTTACCGGTAAAATCAACTTTTCCGGACCCGGATTTATAACCTGAGCCAGATCGGATCCGGCCGGATTTAAACTTATTTGTCTTGACGCTATATTTGAAATGCCCTAATAAAATATTTGTTGATCAAAATGTGTCCCCTGAGCTGATTGATTTTAGGAATGTCTAGCACCGCGCCTCCCTCTTGTTCTTCATCGAGTTTCCTACCCCTCTGAACCAGGGCTGTGCGCCAAAATTTTCGCGTGGCGCGCCAAACGCCAAACGCCAATTTTTTAAATTTTAAAAACACGCCAAACGCCAAACGCCAAAAATCGGCCAAAATCAACGCCAAACGCCAAACGCCAAAATTTTTAGAGACTATAATGACTTAAAACCCACTGTTCATCTCATTTTAGCGCCGCAGGCGAAATTTTTTGAATTTTCAAGCTTCCCAGAAGCCAGAATTCCTTTTTTTACCGCCGGAGCGAAATTTTTGAGAATTTTGGAGGCAAATAAGCCGAAATTCATCCTTTAAAAAATTTAAAAAAAATAAGAAATTCATAGAACTCCTTGAGATTAAGGTGGATATGAAGGTATAAAGGTTGTAATGAGTATAACAGAGATCATGAAGAGAGTAAACGATTGACGGGACTAAAGTTTTTTTTCTACCATCTATTAGTTTAAGATAAGGGCTTCCTCCTTTAAGCGCCGCAGGCGAAAATTTTGAAAATTTTGGAAGTCCAAGCAGTAGATTTCTTCATTTTTTATGCGCCGCAGGCAAAAATTTTGAGAATTTTGGATGATTGTACGCAGAAAAATTTCCTTTTTCGATCATCCCTTTCTCCATTTATTTTAAAAAAATTCCATCATTAGGGGTGTATATTTTTGGCGTTTGGCGCGCCAAAATCGGAAAATCACGCCAAACACAAAACGCCAAAAATCGGCCAAAATTAACGCCAAAACGCAAAACGCCAAACGCCATGACGCACAGCCCTGCTCTGAACCGGCGCTCTGAAGGGACCGGGGCTCTCTTGAGCCTCGCGCTCCAACTCTATCAAACATTTGCTTAAAAATCACATCTCTAATACTATAAAAATAAAAAGTCTCAATAGAAATAAAAAAACTGAACATTTTAAAACAATTTTCTTCAATTTATCGACATTTTAAATAAAACAATTTAATGATAAATATCAGAAAATAAAAATAAAAAACTACTTTTAGAAAACGAGACAGAAGTTTATCAAAAAAAATTTAAAAAATAAATTAGTGTTTTTTACCAAGACCGCTAAATCGGCCTTATTGAACACTTTAAATTTCAGTAATATATACTGGATGATTTTTTTTTAATGAGGGGAAGTGTTGGTACTTATCCGTTATACGCCCACAAACTTAATGTCAGCCAACCTTGTTCGGTTATAACTACTCGATGCTTAATCCACTAATATAAATTTTATATCATTCGAAAGCCCTTAATTAGCGATACATCTTTCCAGCTAGATGGATCAGGTTAGATCACTCGTTAAAAAGTTATAACCCGATAAATGTGAAAAACACCAAATAACATATCGATTATAAAGCATCGGGTTAAAACTTCTTAATGAGTGATCAGACTTGATCTATTTAATTAAAAAAAAGATACAGCCTATAGAAGGCTTTCGAATATAAAATTCATTTGTATTCGATAAATTATCAAAGTCGGTTGGCACTCTGTTTGTGGGCGCATAAAGCTAAGTACCCTGTTTTTATATGAAACATCAAACTCAAAGCTCTCAAATTAGTTCTCATCGGAATTCCCATCCTCCATGTCTCAGTCACTAAATTCCCCTTCTTCCTATGCATCCATATCTTCTTCAACATGATATTCCGAACCTCCTTGGATTTTCATATCTTCTTCAAAATGCCCCATGTTGTAGTCTCCATGTTCAGTGTATTGTTCGTGTCCATGTCCAATATATTGTTGGTGTCCTGTATAATCCCCAAAACCTTGTTGATGACTAGAAATTTGCTGATTTCCATAGCCTGTCTGATATCCATAGTTTTGCTGCTGATGTCCAGTGAAATAATTTCCTAGAACACTTGGTTGATTGTATCCCAAAGCACTTCCTTGTCCATAATCATGTCCAAATCCCCAATTGGAAGTATCTCCGTGTTCACTGCACATTTTTTTAATCTTAAAATTATCAAAATTAGCTATTAAATAATTTTTTAAAACATTTTCGATAATCATTTGATGTATTTCATCAAGGCTTTCGTTATTTTTATGGTCGAGTATGTTACTGTAGAAACCAGTAAAGAGGTATTCTTGGTTTATTTCGTCATCCAACAAAATGTTAATTGTAATTCTTTTAATTTTCTCTGCCAAACCATTATTTATATTTTTGAGTTGATTGTATAAAGAATTAAAATCTTTAGAACTATTCAAGCTTTCATCTATTAAATTGCAGTTATATTTGCTCAATTTTTCATTGGATACTTTAAAAATATTTTTAAAAATATACACGAGTAATTATTGAGTTTCACCGGAAGTTCCGGTTCCGGCTCAGGTTTACAAATCGGTTCCGACAAATCCGTTATACTCCACTCTCTAATACACATATATATGTATATCACTTAACCGCCGACAGATTTTCGGTTCGATCTGCTTACATGAAAGTTTCTGTCCGGTTAATCGGCTCGGGTTTGGTTAACCGAAAAAATGGCTAAACCGACAACTCTCCTTAAAATACAAATTTTTTAAAATTTGCTAGCAAAATTTTTTTAAAAAGTTCCGGTTCCGATGAAACACTTGTATTTATGTTTATTTGGCAATTACAAAATATTTAGAACTCTAGTAATTTGAAGCCAAAATTAAATATTAATTTTTTATTAGTCTTTTAGTTACCTGGGGACAATATTTAAACGATAATCTAAAAAAATTTTGGGGTCGAACAGGAAAAAACACGAAAATAGGGGTGGAAGTATAGTTATGTGGAGCACTGTATTACTTATTTTTATTTTTTTAATTCTGACTATTAATTATTTTGACTCACTTTTGCCTGTAAAGTAAATATGGGAACAGAATTATGATCCTCAGATTAATCCCGCAGTTCCCATCCCATACGATATTTTGTGAAAAACCACGTTAAAGGATTCCAGGACTACGATTTTGCAGCCTCTTAAAATAAAACTACCATAAGTTGAATAAAGTAAAGAAAGAAATTCTTCCACTTGAATTTCAGAATCTAAAGAAATTTTTGTTGGATATTCATTGCTCTCATCTTGAAGTAAAAATTGAAAATAATTGTTTTCTAAAATTTAATTCATTTATATAGACAAATGAAAAAATAGAAAATTTAGAAGATAATTAATTGTTGTGTACAGGTGTAAGCCCTTAAGTAGAATAGTATAGAATAGAGGTCGGCACGGGACAGGATCCCAAATCGGAAACACCCAAAACACTGAAATAGGACGCAGACACTAAAAAATAGGGCAAAAATAGGATGAAGTCGACCAAAAATAGAGCAAAAAAGAGGGCATTATTTTAAGATAATGGGTCGGATTTATTATTTTAGACTCTACTTTAGTATATGCCCACTGAGATCGAAATACCGTATTTCCTATATTAGAGCCCCACCCTCTAATACAGCCCCACTTTGGAGGATATTTGAAAAATAGAGCCCCATGGGGCTCTAATATAGGAAATACGGTATATACCATTTGATTCCGTTTGCCGAGCTGAGTTTAAATATGCAAGAATTTTCTGACGAAGACGAAAACTCGCAGAGCTATAGTCGATTGAATATCGAAAAACCATGGAAGAAGTATGCTGTTTTTTGTGGTAAAAAATTCGAATATGCAGATAATAGACTGTATCTCTTCGCTACAAAATGACCGTGCTTCGCTTTGTCGTAGCGAATTAGCGGCCGACGTTCCGCTCGATATGTATGCCTTGCTTGCTTCCTTCGCAGTGGCAAAAACTTTTTTCGGTGACTTTTTTCGGAGTCACAATTTAACCCAAAAAAATTATAAAATATTGAAAAATAAATTAACCTTTTTCTTTCAACTTTTTTGAGACCCACTCAAGATTATTGTAACTGTTAACATAAATCAGAACAGAAACAACATTCCTAATTTTGGTATTTATTAAAATTATTTTAATAAAAATACTTACTGTTTTTCGTGTCTTTTTTTATAAAAAATACTTAACATATCATTGTAGTAATTTTTATTTTGTCTATGAAATTTAATAAACAAACGAATTAAATGTTGAATTAATTTAATTAAATTCCAAACAATAAATATATTTCGTTCAAGAATGGTTGGATTTGGATTTTCAAAATAGGTGGAGAGTAAAAAGAGTTCCGCATCACTTAATTTATATTGAAATTAATAAAGTCTGTTACATTTGAGGTTAAAATTTTGTAGTAGGCTCTGCTTCATAACTATAACTCCACCTAAAATCTACAAAATTCAAAGCAACCCATAAAGGGTCGAAAATATTTTTTAAAGAGGGCTCAGTTCAAATTATCGTAAAGTCAGTTGAAAGTTGTACTTTGAGAAGTTTTCAATTAAATATTTATTACCCTAAAGTGTCTAAATTATTTATAGCTACTTCAGTCAATTTGTCATTTGTATTTAATGATGAGTAATCCAGTTGATATGGTAAAAGTCTATAACTGTCTAAATATGCAGAATATTCCTCAAAAGTCATTTCTATACTCTTATTCTCTATACCAATCTCAATCTTTTTCAGTTGCAATTGTCGAGCTTAAAAGTTATGTAAGTTGTTTTACTTATTTTACTATTTCTCTTCAGCAGGTGTGTCCGCAATTGCGGATAAAATAAAAATTGCGGGTTGGGGATTGCGGATTTTTGAAATTTTTACGCAATTTTCACGCAATTATTCGCATCACACCAACCAAAAAATTAAAAATTCTGGCTCTTTGATTTTCTCATAATTTTCGCCTCCGGCGGTAAAAAACGAAGTAGTCTGGTTCCTTGGCCTTCTAAAATTCTCAAAATTTCTCGTAATAAGTACATCCTCTCTTAATCCAGCTATTTGGACTATGATGGATATCGGTGGACGGGATATTTCTGCTATCTCGGGATTAGTATCAGTGATCTAGGATTTGCCGAAGTCTCCCTGTTCTTCTATATACTTCCAGATCAATGATATCACTTAAAACCAACGTTAATACCTCTATCCACCTTAGTTCCTCAGATTATCCCCTATATCCCCAAATTGCGCGTTGCTTATTGCGGATTGCGTGCAGTTGCGTGTTGCGGATTTCAAAATTGAAATTTGCGGATTTCAAAATTAAAATTGAGGGTTACGGATTGCGGCTACGGAAAATTTTTTTCAGATTGCGGACATCCCTGCTCCCCAGTCAACTATAAATATTGAGAAAGGAAAGGAAAGAGCGTGGTCAATAAAACGTACAAGAATCAATCGAGTCCTCAAATTTTCTATCAAATTTTCCATTATAATATTCAATAATCTTAATTAATAAATAAAATTTATTTTTAAATATAACTTTAAAAATGAACCTTCTCTAATTTTTCTGATGTTATTTTAAACGATTCGGATTCAAAAATCTTTGGAATGTTTGGAATTAAAGTAGAAATTCTTTTGTTTCCACGTTCACTAATAGTTTTATGTAAATTCGTTGCTGGCTTGTGTAATTTCATTTCTTCAATTTCAATTTTATTAAACGACTGAAGTAAAAGAGACAATTCAATAAGAGAAAAATTATTTTCATCAAAGGAGGCTGCTGGTATTGACGAACTTCCACCAGCCTTTTCCTTTCCTTTTCGACTGGGTCCACGAGCTTTAAATTTTAATGAATTATTTTCTAAATTCGTTTATTGACTGTTGTGAATCTTACAAAGAAAACCCGAATCCGGCCCGGGTCCATTTCGAGACAATTTTATAAATATTCTGATTTTTTATACATTTCTGTGTCCAATTGTTTCAGTAGGCTTAATCTTTAGAACTAAAAGTTTTGTCTGCGTCATAAAAACTGAAAACAATGAATTTAAACAGTGCCAGACCTATCAAGTAAAAATAGGCATTTGCCTAAAGGCTAGAGGAAAAGACGAAAGATGCAAGAATCAGCTTGAAATTCAACAATCAAATTAACGCTAAGGCGCATGTCTTGATACAAATTTTTCTGGTTGAGAAAGTGAAAATGTGGATTCTATATGAAAAAACTGACAAAAACTTTTGATTTTACACTATTAAATAGTTATTAAATTTTTTGTTTATTTAATAAAATATAATTTATTTAAATATAAATACAAACAATCTCTTGGATGCTGCTGATGCCATTCATCCATTAATAAAGTTTGTTCTATCACAAAAAACAAGAGGAAAAGCAAAATGAATGCTTTCATCTAAAAATATTTGAAACGTTATTTTAAATATTTTTGTTTATAGTCTAAATTTTAGACCGTTTGCCGTTTACAGGTTAGTTAAACGGTTTTGTGCTACACTAGTCTAAAACCCCCATTCAATCCCAAACAGTTTTTAAAAAAAATTTAGAAAATAATTTACTGCTAGGGAATTGCTTAATCCTATATTTTACTTTCGAAGCCTGATAATTTTTAGTTTTAATCCAGTTCTGCTAAAAATTTGCATAGCAAGATAGCTGCAATAATCCTAATTTATGATTAGAAACGAAAATAACCTCCAAAAATTTTGTAAATTTTTGAAAATATTATTTTATATCCCCAATTCTTATTTATATTTTAACGACTAAAACCCTCTATAAATTTTAAAATTATTCAAACTTTAATATTTTTTAAAAGAGAATATTAATGAATGGGCAACATGTTTAATGTGGGGCGTTTAAATCATTGTGGAATTTATTTCAAAAACCGCTTGCGCAATGAATGTAGATTCATTGCTCGTACATGTATATACATATAATGTACGTATATTTAAGTCTCGCCGACAAATTTTAAACTAATCTTTAATTTGTCGGAAATTTAAAATTTGACTGTTAGATATTCATATTTATATACAAATTTTCATCGATAAAGCGCGAGTTTGGACTCTACAAAGAAAATTAAGTTCAAACTCGTGCACTATTGAATATTTATTTCAAAATTTTATCTATAATTTCTCTGAGATCTACAACATACGATAAAAATTTAGAAATTTTAATTTTTTAAAGTTTTTGTAATTGTATTATAAACGATAATTTTATTTAAAAGTTAAATTTTTGTGGCCCAACTTTCTAGTGTATTGAGTATAACTTTTCTTAAGTTCTTGACAATTTAAAAAATTGGCGTTGAGCATTTGGTAGGCTGCACGAAAATTTTGGTGCACAACCGTTTGTTAATCATATTTTTATTTTTTAGTTCAGAACCATACAAATTTCACAGTGCAAAAGACAGCGGCGCAAATGTCGCAGAATCCGCTCAAAATAATTACGAATCGAAGCCTTGATTTACAATATGTTCCTTGATGTTTTCATAACAAAATAAAATTGTAAAAATAAAAAACTTTAAAATAATTTTCATAAATTTATCGAATCTTGAATAAACAATTAAATGATAAATATCAAAAAATAAAGCTAATAAATTATTTTAGAATAAAATACAAGACAGAAATTTATCAAAAAATAAAAAATAAATGCTAAATCGGCCTTATTCGACTTTAAATTCCAGTAATATACTGGATGTTTTCAATAATGGAGGGGGAATTGTTTAACATAGAGGGGAAGTGGTTATAAAATTAAGGAATTCTATTAAACAAAAATAAATTTAAATTAAAGATAAAAGCTTAATAACGTTTAGGCAATAATTTCTTCTTCATTCTTTTTTTCTTTTAAAAAAGTATTTATTAGGCTAGAATTCATCCATTTTAGATCCACAAAAATCAAATTTTTAAAATTAAAATTCGAAAGAAACCCCCATCGGAAATCTAAATTTCGAAACAGCTATGTTCGGGCTTTAACTCCGAAAATAAACAAATTAAAGGCTCAGTTATATCTTTAATTTAAATTTTTGTAAGAATTTAGATGGCAAATATCAAACAAAAAGCTTTAAATTATCATCGACTGAATTCCCAACCTCCAAGAACTTCTTCCAGCGGTCACTATTTCAGTCATCAAATTCTCCTTCTTATGTATCCTTTGATTCTTCATTATATCCAGAGCCTCCTTGGATTCTCATATTTCCTTCGAGATGTCCAGTGTATTGTTGGTGCCCGTTTCCTGTATAATCCCCTAAACCTTGTTGATGACTAAAAATTTGTTGATTTCCATAGCCTGTCTGATATCCATAGTTTTGCTGATGTCCACTAAAATAATTTCCTTGAATACTTGCTTGATTGTATCCCAAAGCACTCCCTTTTACAAAATTATGTTTATATCCCCAAGTTGAAGTATCTCCATATCTACGGCACATATTTTTCAGCTTAAAATAATAAAAACTTTAAATTATTTTAATTTATTATTTAAAAAAATTAATTTTATTAATTTTTTAATACATGAAAGAGAATAGATTGATGTAGTTTAAAAGTTTCGTTATCCGGATGATACAGCAATATATTTTGGTGAAAACCGCTAAAGAGGAAATGTTGTTTCCTCTCATCAGCTAATAATATGTTGACTATTATCGCTTTAAGTTTTTCTAACAAATTTCGATCTTTTGAATTATTTTTTCTCAGATTAATGTATAGACGAGTAAAATTTTGAGAAGTCTTTAATTTATGATTAATTAGATCACAGTGAAGTTTACTCAATATTTCGTTGAATACTGAAAAAATATTTTTTAATAAAAATATTTTTATAAATTATTTATTCATATAAATATCCTAGCAATTATTTAGTAATTTAAAAAAAAATTAAGGGAAAACAAACAAACGAGCAACAAAAAATACTCTTTACAGAAAATAAAAAAAATTTAAAGCAACATTCTCGTGTGTCTATGAAGAATTTTAGGAACCGGACTCCGGAAAAATATGGCCGGATCGGTCACTAATAATAACGAATTAGGAAAATAAACATACTATAAGTTTTAAAAAGTAAAAGAAGAAATTCTTCCACTTGAATTTCAGAATCTAAAGAAATTTTTGTTGGATATTCATTGCTCTCATCTTGAAGTAAAGATGGCAAATAATTGTTTCCTAAATTTTAATTAATTTATAGACTTATCTAAAAAATTACAAAATTTAAATAATTAATAGATTTTGGGCAAAATATGCGAAATTATGAAAAATTTGCCAAATTTCATAAAAAAGGCAATGTTTTGCAGTTTGATTCTTAAATTGATTTTTGTATATTATGAAAAATTTTGCCTGCAGCATTGAACTTAACTACTCTAATAAAAATTTCGAATTCAGATTCTGATATCCTGAATTTTCGGTTCGGATATTGGATCTGGGTAACAGGGATTTCCTATGATACGTCAACCTATTTACATACAACGAAGGGAGATTCTAGAGATTGGAAACCTTCTGATATCATACTTAATCCTACAGATCCCCTGATATCCCCGATTTAAGAAAGTTTTTCAACCAAAGGTTTCGCCTTTCATGTTTTGCAGTTCGATTCTTAAATTGATTTTTGCCTTTTGCTTTTTAAAATAGGTTTCGACACACCCCTAGTTAAATTTCGTGAAACGCGGGGATCGGGGATATCAGGGGATCTGTACCAACATCCATATGCAAACATGCTCTAAATTACCAAATATGCAAAATTATTGTTTTGACCAGTACTAATGTGTATAGGTATTTATTTAGATTATTTAATTAACTTTAATAACCTTCCTTAGAAATTTCCATCAACTTTTCTGATAATTTTTCAAGATCATTGAAACGGTAAACATAAATCAGAATTGAAACAATTTCTCTAGTTTTAATAAATTTTAAAAATATTTTAATTAAAGTACTTACGGGTTTTCGTTTCTTTTATTATAAAAATTAATTAACATAATATTGTAGTAATAATTATTTTGTCCGTGAAATTTAATAAACGAACGAATTAAATGTTGAATTAATTTAATTAAATTCCAAACAATAAATATATTTCGTTCAAAATCGGTTGGAGTTGGATTTGGAACATGTGTAGAGAGTAAAAAGAGTTCCTCCTTGCTTAATTTATATTAAAAATTAATTAATAACCTAGCACGGCTTTTGATTAGAGTAGAACAAGATCGAGGTTTTTTTGGCTTGAAAAGCCGAGATCGAGGTTGAGGGACTGATTTGAACCCGAGCCAAAGTCGAGGATATGGATCAGACAACTCAAAGCTTGTGTTAAATAATTTCAGAGCTAAAAAAATATTTCTAAATACCTAGGACTTGAAATATAGTTTGTAAATGACTGGAAAATAAAACTATTTTATCAAATACTACATATACTTTGCACAATGTACATACCTATTTGATTTTTTGTTACACTGGGTTTTGAGACGGATCTCGAGGTATCAAAGGGTTTGATTGTTATTATTTTTTAATATCGAAATTTTTAATATCTATTTTTGCAACTGTTGTTCCAACAACATTGTTTTTAATTTTAAGATAGCCAAAAGAGAAATATTTTACCAGTGGCGCATTGACCTGTTCCCGGAGTAAGCTTCTTCTAATCAAATAAATATTTACTTATATTACCTAAAAGTGTCTGTATTATTCAAAGTATTTATTGCTACTTCAGTCAATTTTGTATTTGTATCTAATAACGAGTAATTCACTCCATATGGTAAAAATCTTGAATATTTTAAAAATTCAAGGTATTTCTGATCAGTCATTGTTTCACTCATATTTTTTAAACCAATTTCAATCTTTTTGCGCTCTAATTTTGAATCAAATTTTTCATTATAATAGTTAATAATCTTTATAAAGAATAAAATTTATTTTTAATGTAAAGTGTATTTAGTCTGGCAGTAAAGCTAAAATGCACTTTGATTCACCCTTCCGTTTTGTTATTTCCCCCAATAAACATGTTATGTAGTAATATTAGCATTAACTGTCTGGCATTAATGTTTATTACATAATGATTTACTTTCTTCCCAGCAAGTTCTTATTAATGTATGCTTTTCCTATGTGAATAAAGGCGATTATACAACAAAGCGGTCTATCTATGCTTCGGCAAGTCTGAATACCTGATCAATACTTTTCCGTTTTGTTACACCCCCCTATAATAATGCTAAAAATGTCATATATAGGGTAAAAAAGGGTGCTGAGTTGAACGGTGCCCTTCTTTTTCCCCGGTGATGCCCGTGGACCGAGTTATGAAGCTCGAAATGGTCAAAAATCATACTGTCATTTTGGGGTAAAAAATTCGAATATGCAAATAATAACTCATTTGAAAGAGCTCGACGAGCTGAGTCAAATGATAGCAAAATTAGCGCGATTGAACAAGATTAGACAAAGTTACGATATAAAAATGAACCAAGTAAACGTTAGTTTTTGTATTGTAACTTTGTCTAATCTTAAACAATCACAGTGATTTTTGTGTCATTTGACTCAGCTCGTCGAGCTAATTCGAATGAACTATTGTTTGTAAATTATTAGCTGTAAAAATCGCCCCTTTGGATCTTCGATTTTTAGGTGCCTATATCTCGGTCCAATCACATCAGATTTCGTTGATTTTGGTATCATTCGACTCAGCTCGTCGAGCTCTTTCGAATGAGTTATTATTTGCATATTCGAATTTTTTACCCCAAAATGGCCCCATGGATTTTGACCATTTCGAGTCCTATATCTCGGTCCACAGACAACTCCTGGGAAAAAGAAGGGCACCGTTCAACTCAGCACCTTTTATTACCCTATATAAGACATTTTGAACATTAATATAGGGGGGTGTAACAAAACGGAAAAGTACCACCTGATCAATCCTCAGAGCTTGACCGATTAAGGTGAAAGTTATCCCGGACTTAAGTCTTATTAAATACACCAAATGGAATGGCCCCTGCTGTGTTTCTTTAATCTAGTAACCTTCTCTAATTTTTCTGATGTTATTTTGAACGATTCTAATTCAAAAATCTTTGGAGTGTTTGGAATTAGTGCAGAATTTATTTTATTTCCACGTTCAATAATATTTTTACGCAAATTTGTTGTTGGACTGTTTAATTTCATTTCTTCAATATTAATGTGATCAAATGTCCGAATTAAAAGGGACAATTCAATAAGAGAAAAATTATTTTCATGGAAGGAGGCTGCTGGTGTTTGACTAGCTGAAGGAGAAATAGCTATATAACCAATTCAGCTTTACTATGTAAAGTTATTTAATTTTTTTATAATAAAAATAAACAGTTCTGTTCAAACTTTATTCCCTATTTTAAGGGTTTTCGTTACTATTTTGCTTCAAATTTTCAGAATTTATTCCCAAAAATTCAAACTCTAGTTAATAATGTGTAGGTAAGAATAGAATTCTTAAATTGTTTATTTTTTTAAATTTATTTATATAAAAAAATCTAACAAAGGGGGAATCCTCTTACAATTATACTAAACTTGAAAATACAAAAATACAAACAATATCTTGTAAACATTCCATCAGTCAATTCTAGTTGGAATTCTTTAATGACAAAAATTGAGAGTAAAATTAAAATTTTCATTTTTTTAAATTTTTAAGGTTATGTAAGATAAAATGATGTGAAGAGATAAATAAAAATTACATAGTGCAAGACTAAGCGCGTTTATTAATAGGTGGAAATAAGATTGAGAAATATTAAACTAACTTTCCCAGCGAATACGTCTATCCATAAAACAAAATAAAATTTAAAAAAAAACAAAATAAGCAGTTCTTTTTACTGTTAAATAATTCCTATTTAGGCATATATTTCAAGAGCCTTCTGCGTACAATTCGAGCGCGAGGCTTTGTAAAGCCCCGGTCCCTTCGGAGCGCCGGTTAAGTAGGAAAGGAAACTCGATAAAAAGAAGCGCAGTGATTGTCATTCCTAAAATTAATCAGCTCAGGGGACACTTGGATTAACAAAGATTTTATTAAGGTATTCCAAATATAATGAGTTGAGTGAAAATTAAATTAAAAATAAATTCAAATCGAAATAAAATAATTGGAAAACATAAAAACAGAATTAAAAGAATTATTTATTTTATTTATTTCTCCATTATCTCAAGACTTAAGACTGATCTTCTCAATGTGTTCATTAGTTGTTGAAAAGGGGCGGGAAAGAAATATGGGAAAAACAATAAAAGATTATAGTTCAATTTGTTTCATTACTTTTCACTCTGTAACTATATTTTTTATGAATTAAATAAATTAAAGCTCTTTAATTGTATGATTTCTAATGGGGGAACCTCCGCCAAGGACACCATGACATCGAGTGCTTCAGCATAAATTAATGTAGAAGATGAAGTATTGAACATGGCTATAGTTGACAAAATGCTTTTAATTGCAATGGTAGGTACAAATCAGGCACGTTACACTGACTTAGAAAAACTCCACGGGGACACAATAGAGTTGCGTCGTAATTGAAAATTTTTTTTCGTAATCGTAATTCGTAATTTTTAAAAAATTTTCGGAATCGTAATTCGCAATTTAAAAAAATTCGTAATCGTAATTCATAACTCAAAAATGTAATTCGTAATTTTAAAAAATATTTAAATTAATTTAAAAAATCAAATATTTATTAATAATTGCTGCTTCTCCCATTAATCCCTCCAAGTCCTCTTATTTTTCTAATATTATTTCACATCCCAATTAATTCACTGATATCCCTCTTAATTCACTTAATCCTCCGATATACATATCTTCAATCAATCATGCGAAATTAAGGTTTAATATCATGATTAAGGTTTGATATTATGTGATATCACTCTCACCTAATCCTGACAAAAATAAAACGTCCCGTGAAATTTTCCAAACCCCGACTTCTTTTAATCTATTGATATCCTTGTTAATCTCAGATAAGTTTTCTGCGCAGCAGGCAAAAATTTTGAGAATTTGGAAAGCCTTAGGAGAAAAAATTCATTTGTTAGAGCCGGAAACAAAAAACTTTTTGAAGTTTAGACGGTTCCGTGACTTTTGCGCCGAGAACATTTGCGCCGCGACTTATGCGCCGAGCGACTTTTGCGCCGGGGGACTTTTGCGCCGCGACTTTTGCGCCGGACGACTTTTGCGCCGCCACTATCATTAATAATTATGAAAAACTACAGCCGGTCCTCACTATAGAAGATGTAGGATAGTTGGAGATCTTCGGATATCAAGATCCGGATCTGATATCCGACATAAAATTTTCGGCTATCCAGTTTTTTTCAGATCCAGATATCTGGACACGACAACCCTACACTATAGTGCACCCTCTTCTGGCAGAAAATCATGCCTGAATATGAGTAGCAGACCAAATATCCTGATCCAAAAAAGTCAATATCTTTGAAGATGACTTCTCTAGGGGTCGGTTCATTTTTCAACCTTCCTCTAGGGGGTCGATTTCAGGGTTGCCGCGGGTACAAAAAATCTTCGGGTACGGGTTTCGGGTATCGGGTTGGAGCGTTTTCATTTCGGGTCACGGGTTTCGGGTTGGCAAAAATATCGGGTACGGGTTTCGGGTTTCGGGTTATAAAATTTTGATTTCGGGTCACGGGTTTCGGGTTGGCAAAAATTTCGGGTACGGGTTTCGGGTTTGGCGGAAAATCCGGGTTATTTTCGGGTGTTCGGTTATTGGTGAACTAAATTGTAAGGATACATGTTGCATAATAGCATTTTGGGTGATATAGAGTTAAACAAATTTGAAGAGATTAAAGAGACATTGTGGGATCTGGAGATTAAGATATACTTTTTGCAAAGATATATCAGGATTAAAAGATATATCGAGAGATTCAAACACTTGTTGAATAGGATTAAGAAAGATTGTGAAGAAAGACCTCCAAGCATCCTATATCACTTGATATACAGGGTGGGGCAAAAGTTCGGCGACAAATGTTTTAAAAAAAACACTTACGGATGTTTCTCACAATGGTCGCGCATTGTTCATCAGTAATTCCGTTCCAGGCTCGCTCTAAAACAACATTAGTTCCTCTGATGTTGCGTATCGGATTCGGCATACTTTTTGCTCCAGAAATGCCCAAATAGAATAATCCAATGACTTAAATCCAGTGAGTTTGAGGGCCTTAAATCTTTCCCCCACGGACCAGGAAACAGCTCCCCACAGAGCTGGATTGTCGTTTTGGCTCCATGCGCGGTTGCTCAATCCTGCTGAAGCGAGAATAGGTTTTCTCCGTGAAGCTATAATGGCCATGGATGCTCAATCCCCCTCAGAATGTCATTTTGTAGACTGCAACATTAATTTTTATAATCATCACTCTGTTATGGCGACCAGCTGCGACCAGGCGTTTAATCCTTCGACATTTTTGAAGTCTCTTATGCTTCATTCGATTGCTAAGAAAATATGAGCGGCTGATCTTGTAACTTCAAAGTCTAAGCTTCACTCTAACAATTTTTAGGAAGCTCCTCGAGCTCATTCCGAGATCTGAGGCCGTTTTTCACATCGATTGTTCAGAAAAACGGAAAATTCGGCATCTGACGTCCGTTCATGTTTTCAGTCGCAACTTCGGTTACCGGCTGCCACTACTAGGACGGTCCTGAGTATTTCCAGGCTCATGATATCGTTTTATTGCTTTGGAAACCAACATCTGACAGATATCGAGCGGTCTAGCGATGCACATTTTCGAACATTTTTAAAATACAAAGAAATAATATGTAGAAGCACGATTTTTTAACATTCAGTAAAATTTTTACTTTATGAGATAGGAAAAAATTTTCAAGATAAAATTTGTACAGCGCGAATCATAGAATATGGGAAATCTAAACAAAAGGCAAAATATAAAGTAAATTTTAAGATAGGACAAAATAAAATTTGTCGCCGAACTTTTGCCCCACCCTGTATATTAAAATCCCTTCAATGATATCAGATGATTGATATCAGATGATTAAGGCAGATATAATGATTTAGAGGGATATAGGTGCATTAATCAACAGGTCCCTTGATAAAATCCCACTATATACTAATATCCCTCCGCTTTATCTCCATTAAAGACACCAATTTTATCCTTTTTCAGCGCCGCAGGCGAAAATTTTGGGAATTTTGGAAGACCAAGAAGCCAAATTTCTTCCATTTTTTGCGCCGCAGGCAAAAATTTTGAAAATTTCAGAAGGCCGTAGGCAAAAAAATTCACTTTTTAGTGGTCAAATGAAACTTTTTTAAGAATTTTAGAAGGTCAAAATCTCTTAATTACTCCATGTAAAAATATTTTTTAAATTTTTGAAACAAAATTAAACTTATAAAATAAGTTACTTATGGAAAGAAAAATGCGAAAATTCCTCGTCCTCTGTCAAGGCATCGAACCCACCTATAAATTATTAACGACTTGGGTGAGGTCCATCACCTTAACCATTCGACCACCCACTCATATGTGGACGATTGAAAAAAAATTAAACATATTTCTTTCTATTTTTCTATTAATACAAAGTTAAAAAGATCGGGTAAGGCTAAGATTTCGGGTAGAAATTTCGGGTTTTAACCAATTTCGGGTCACGGGTTTCGGGTTGGAAAAAATATCGGGTACGGGTTTCGGGTTGGAAAATTTTCAATTCGGGTATCGGGTTTCGGGTACAAAAAAGGCCGGGTTTCGGGTTTCGGGTAACGGGTTTCGGGTTTCGGGCGGCAACCCTGGTCGATTTATTAGAGGGGGCTGTTGTACTTCCCGAAATATTGTACTTCCTGAAGGTCCTTCAGCTACTGGATGCCATTTTTTAAGAAGTACACTATAATTAGGTACGACTGTAGATATTATTTTTTTAAAATTATGGCGGCGCAAATGTCGCGGCGCATAAGTCGCCCGGCGCAAAAGTCGCGGCGCAAAAGTCGCCCGGCGCATAAGTCGCGGCGCAAAAGTCGCCCGGCGCAAAAGTCGCGGCGCAAAAGTCGCCCGGCGCAAAAGTCGCGGCGCAAATGTTCTCGGCGCAAAAGTCGTGATACCCGCGGTACGAGCCTCGTGGTACGAGTTTTACATTATAAAATTTATTAAATTGTACTAATTTCAACTGGTATCACGACTTTTGCGCCGCGACTCTTGCGCCGCGACTTTTGCGCCGGGCGACTTATGCGCCGCGACATTTGCGCCGCCATTGTTTAGAAAATCAGGATCCGAAAAATGCCATATCCGAAATTTTCAGTTCGGATAGCAGATCCGAAGATTTCCAACTATTCGACAACCCTACTAAAGTGAGGTCCGGCTGTAGTTATTGATATATTTTTAATGATATGGCGGCGCAAAAGTCGCCCGGCGCAAAAGTCGCGGCGCAAAAGTCCCCCGGCGCAAAAGTCGCTCGGCGCATAAGTCGCGGCGCAAAAGTCGCGGCGCATAAGTCGCGGCGCAAATGTTCTCGGCGCAAAAGTCACGGAACCTTTCAACTTGATAGAAATACAGTAGGACATTAACTAGATATCCCTCATTATTTAAATATTTATTTGCCTCAAACTTTGATCTAATAGCGAAGTTCGACTGTTAAATATTTTTTTCCTACAGAAAAATTAGTTTTATAACTAATAATAAAATTAGTATCCCAATCGATCCGGACATTAATATAAACCAGACAAAATTATCCTCCAAAACTTTGCTATCCTCATCAATTTTCCTTTCAGTCAAGCAAATCTCTGTTCTTTTCTTAACCCCAAGAATTGCATCACGTGCCCCATTCCAAGCTTTAGTTCCTCGAAGTCTGTAGACATAGGAAACATTTGGCCCAAAAATGAGGGCATATGCTAAACGCGGATCTGATAAAATATAATCCATTGGTTGGGGCTTGCAGTCTAGAATTTCAGCTATCGAGTCCATATAAGGCACACAGTCTACCTGTAATTAGTATTTCCAAAATTAATTTTATATATTCAAATAAACCTCAATTGTGTGCCGTGTACTTTCTACAAAAGTTTTTGCTAACCAATCTCTGTACTGATCAACTTCCTTTTCCATTTCTGGACCGGTAGGCAATTTTGCTTCTCTATTGAGTCCAGCAAAGAATAATCTTGCCTAAGTTAAGTGGAATCATGCTGGGTCCATTCTAAAACCAAACCTAGGCACAGTTAAACCATTATAATCCCTAAAGATAGCTTGTGGGTTGGCCAGACCCAAGCTTAACCTTTACCACTGAGCCACACCGGTGTGCTCTTCCTTATAGGCACATATATACACAAAGACTGACTAACTGGGAACTGATTTATCGGTGAAGCAATAAACAATATATAAACATAAGCATGTGAATGGGAGGTGACACAGGAAATAAAGATAAATAATAATTATAGTGTAATGGTTGGGAAAATCCATTAACACATAATGCTCGTCCATAAGATCACCTGTGCTTAGGCAATCAACGGATATACCTTACACCTCCCTTGCCCACCTAGACCGTCCCTGGTCGTCTTTAAATATTAGGGTGCCCCTTCTCCTATCATTTAAATGAAACATGGAATTTTTAAGTATAGACTTTTTTGAGACAACTCTTTCCATTTACATTATCACGTACTTAATTTGAAGACTGCCGAAGCCTGTAAGTGATCCTTTCAGGACACTTTGTTTTATAGCGCATAGTTGACCCTATGGGTACATTTTTTGTTCTGAATCTAGCCGAAGCCATTCAGTCTTATTCATATCTTTAACTTGTTTTATGGAAAGAGTTGTTTTAGCTGTTATTTGAGATACCATGTTTCATTTATTTTATTTCTTAAAATTCCTGATAGTTTTCTATCCCATAAGAATTAAATGTTCCTTAAATTGTCCAGGCGGTTGGTTTTGGAATCGAGCATTATGTGGTGGGTATTCATGATTGAAAATCACAGTGAAATAAGTAGTTGAGTATACAATATTAAATGTGGGGATAATTTAAGATAAAATTAACCGTGTATAAAATGAAAGGAAATAAAATAAATCAAATGTATGTAAAATAATCTGAATGGATAACTTAAACAAAGTATAGTATAAGATAATTAAACATTCAAAATAAAATAAAATAAAATAAACCCATTTATTAGCCTAAGCCAGCTTAATCCACTCTCTTCCTTATTTTTGACCGTCCCTGGTCAATTTAATAGTAATATTTGGGAGAATGATTAACAAATTTAAAATAAATTCGGTATTACCTAAGTATTTTCTACAAAAATAAAGTAATCTTCTTAAGAGGTATTTTGATAAATGTGAGGGTTGGTAGGAATAATAATTGATGTAAATTTATGTGTGAGTATTATGAAAAATAAGGAATTTATCCAGTTTTTCCATGATACTCATACAGATTTATAGCAGTTATTAAATCCATAACTTAGTTTTTGAAATAAAATTTGCTAGGCACTAAAAGTAACCTTTAAAAATGAAGATATTAACTCTTAAGAGATTAATATCTAGTTTTTTGAAAGTTATTTGTAGCACCAGGGAAATTTTATGTCCTAATGGGGAACATTTAAATAATAATATGAAGAGTTCAGGAAATTATATACATAGCTAAATGGTAGATAAAATGAATGAGTTTTTTTTTTGATTTCATCTGTCCTGCCAAATCCAAGAACATTAAGATCCAATTGAGTTTGATTTGCCATCCAACTGGTCCGCATTTCATGAAAAAAAGGGATGTTAGATTTTATTCATTTATTTAATAAACTTTAACCCGAATTTTACCCAATACATTAGATCATAAATTACGCAAGTTGCTTGTTTGGTTGCCGAAGCATCATTTGAACCGCATTGTTTTTGAGTCCTTTGTATCTGAATTTATAATATTGGTTTATTTATTAATTAAATAAATTAGTTTTTCTTAAACCTACTTTTTTTAACTTATCTTTGTCTAAGTGTTAAGTTTCAAACTAGTTCTATTGCTGGCCCAATCTTATTACATAAAAGAATATAATTAAGTTTATTTACTATTATTTTTCCTTATAATTTTCATAGGACTAAATTGATCAAGGTCAAGTTTTGAGCTTATTATATATTTTGAGCTTATTATACTCCAGCGATAATTAGGGTTTAGCTATGTGCATGCAAATCCTATGTTAGGCCTAGACCCCCTTGATTATTACCAATAAAAATGGAAAAATGTTAGTATTAGAAATTAAAATTCCAGAAAACACATGTATAACACAGAGAGCAAGTGTTTTCCGATTCAACTCAAAAATTTATCTATGTGATTAAAGAGAAAAAAAATTTTTTTTTTTTTAAGCTTTGAAGTAATTGTCAAAAAAAAAATTTTGTTGTTAAATTCGAGAGAGAAAAAAATTAAAAAAAATTCTAATGTAGCCCAATAATACATATACAGCTTTTTTTTACAGTTTGGAATAAATATTTTTTAAATAACCCAGAAAGCGGCCTAAACCCTATTAAAATAACCATCCCCATCTAAAAGAAATAAATGAAACAATAATGTGTAATTTTAAAAATAATAATAATTTGGATTGCAATGAAATTAAACAGTTTCAGTAATCTTTAACAAAATGTACAAGGGATGCACATTATTAGCAAAATAGGTTGTCAAAAAAAAAACTTGAAACATAAAAATAGTTTGCTAGTTACCTACAGAAACTAAAATATTTTATTTTTTTTTATCTGCCTAAAAATAATAGTTTATTTTTGGAATTCAATACAAATTCTACTTTTGTTTTTTTTTGTCATTGATGTAAAAAACACAAAGATTGGATAAGATGAAATTAGATTTAAATTAAAATGAAATTTCTTTTTAAAAAATTTCATAATAGATTATTAAAGCGTTAAAATAAGAATATGTATCTATTTCCTCTATTATATAAGGAGTTTATTATTTTGAAAGGAGTGTTATATGTATATTTTACTATTAAGATAAGGCGTTTATTGCAAAAAAAATCATAGCTTTTTTTTAGAAGTGAGTTCGAGCTATGAATAGTCATGATAGTAATGATAGGAGAGATAGTTAATTAGCATATTGAATTAATTATGTATATTTGTGAAAAGGTTAACAGCATTAAAAGTCAGGTTAATGTTGTTAGACGACCATTGAACTTAGAACCATTTACACAGAAAAGTTGCCTAGACATACATTTGGTTTGAGATAATGATTGAGTATTCTATTGCCTATCTTCCCTCCGATGTTTGATCTCCATTTATTTTTTATTCCAATTTAAACTTTACAGAACCAACTCAGTTTTTTTGGTCCTTACCCTTATTAGCAAGTTAAGCAGAAAGTAACATGATATTATCACATTCCCTGACAACATTTTCCAATTTTACATGGTGAGCATGTTTTTTATACATTAGGCGGGATAATAACAAATTGAGCATAATCTTGTTTAATGAGAAGATGAAGAATGAATGGGGGCGGAAAAATGCTGCGATAGTACGACTAATATTTGCGATATAGATGTCGCGACTGTCTAGTCAGCTATAGTAAAGGACAGTAAAGAACTAGGAAATGGGCAGCGGCTGGAAATAGCAACAACAGCAAAATTTGCAGCAGCCGGTGAGTGGTTGGATGGCCAAACGGATTAGGCCGCAGTTTGGAGAAAAGGGGCCCTGGACCGAACGACAGCAGTTCAACCCAATTTTTCATATAGATTTGAACAACATTAATTACAGAATTAACACAAAAAGAAAATTTTAGACAATTAAAAGATTTTAAGGACTTACATAAACCCCCTGTGAGTACTAGAGATATAATTTATCAGAAAAAAACTTTTAGTTAGTAAGAGTGAATGAAGTTAACGAAACGCTAACGAATTTAAAGAAAAATATGTAAAGAACAAGTATTTTCAGATTCTTCTCAAAATTTGTTTTAAAACTTGATGTGGTTACTAAAAAGATTTAGAGTTCATGAACAATTAATGGATGAAAATATTTTAATTATTCCTCCATAGAAATAAAATTGTTTAATCATTTGATGAATTTATAATGTGCAAACCACAATAACACATTTCCAGAATGTAAATCCTTCACATTCTACTGCAATTTTGATGGTAATTTCAAGAATTCAACCCAGAAAAAGGCCTAAACCACTAGCAAAATATGTACTATTAGCCTAAGAGAAATGAAAGAGCAAAAATAAAATGCTAAAAAAATGTATGAGAACAAATATTTCCAGATTTTATTTCAGGGTATTAGTTGGAATTAATTATTAGAAGTAATATAATGTCTATTTTTCAAAGATAAAGTTAGTTAGTTCTAATTGAATGGAAATATTTTACCTTTGAATTTCTTAAGAAAAGTATAATTTACTTATAAGTTATTCAATTGAATTCATTCAATTAAAAACAATTCATTCAATTTGAATCATTCAAATTCAACTTATAAGTCATTCAATGAATTAAATCATTCAACAGAAAAAACATTAAAAAAATTCAAAATAAGTATTCAATTTACCTATACTCTGAAATAGAAAAGCTTTCGAGAACTAGTTTCTTAAATCTTCAATTCAATACAAGGTGAACTTTCGCTTTTTTTTTAGCCCCCTATCTTTATTAAGATAAAGGTTATAATAGGATTTCGATTAAATAAAAAAAATCTTTCTAATATAATTTCGAAGTAGTTTCCAAAGTAACCAAACAAACATATTTCAATCAGAAGAAAAGAGCAAAAGATTTAACAGACTGTGATGCCAAAATCAGTTGCTTTTTTTTGTGTTTTATTCATTGAAATTATTTAAATCACCCAGAAGTTTTGCCTAGACATCTTTGGTTCAGAGTGAGTAATCCCGGTTTATGTTTCTATTTTGAATTTAAACTTTACGGGCTGGAGCCACATTTTGCTCTTTTCCTTTATTTGGCAATGTACCGCATTAGCTTCTCTCGTTTTCAAAATATTTTTTTTTTACTGAAACATACATATAAGAAAAAAAATAGCAATCGAACAATTCATATGTTTTTCAAAGAGATGATTAATACCAAATGAACATAACAATGAAAAACAAATGAAAATAAAGGTTTCTCGGAATTTTTTATTAAAAAAGATTGAAGTACGTTACTGAT